CTATAAACATTTTACACTTTTTTCTGGACTTTTTGTTCAATTATTTAGATGCTTTTTTTTTTTAGTTAGTTAGTCATTTTTTCCATAAGCTACCTTTTCATTTAGGGCCCTATGAAATCCATTTTATTTTTTGCTAAATTCTGTGTTTTCACATTTTTTTCTTCTTCTGGATTCAGTGCTTTATGATTTACTACAAATTAAGCATCAAAAAAAGGTGTCTAATGAAATCAATTAATTACACTTTTTAATCAATTTCATCAACCTTCTGAAATCTAGTCATACTGTATTTAGCAGTTAATTTACAATTTTAATTTTTAGCCAAATAAGATGCTGCACAACAGAACTGTGTATATACATTAGAAAATATATTGGGTCTGTGTAATTGCTTAATAATGTTATTATTATCATTATTATTACATTGATAAGTAGGCTACATTTTTGTATACAGTAGTAATATATTTCTGTCATAATTGTTTAAAGTTAAATCAAACTTTGTTGGCGTTTGTGCTGAAGAGTCTCAGTGTGTTCGACGGTGGTTTTCTCGAAGTGAACGCTGTAAAGCTGCTGAAGCAACTCTCAGGCAGCTCTGGAGATGAAGTTCATGTGCTCATATATTGAGACGCAGACACTTAAAACGTGTGTTTGATGAAGCCTAGTGTGTTTGAACCAAACACTTTTTTCTGGACTTTTTGTTTAATTATTTAGATGCTTTTTTTTTTAGTTAGTTAGTCATTTTTTCCATAAGCTACCTTTTCATTTAGGGCCCTATGAAATCCATTTTATTTTTTGCTAAATCCTGTGTTTTCACATTTTTTTCTTCTTCTGGATTCAGTGCTTTATGATTTACTACAAATTAAGCATCAAAAAAAGGTGTCTAATGAAATCAATTAATTACACTTTTTAATCAATTTCATCAACCTTCTGAAATCTAGTCATACTGTATTTAGCAGTTAATTTACAATTTTAATTTTTAGCCAAATAAGATGCTGCACAACAGAACTGTGTATATACATTAGAAAATATATTGGGTCTGTGTAATTGCTTAATAATGTTATTATTATCATTATTATTACATTGATAAGTAGGCTACATTTTTGTATACAGTAGTAATATATTTCTGTCATAATTGTTTAAAGTTAAATCAAACTTTTATGTTGGCGTTTGTGCTGAAGAGTCTCAGTGTGTTCGACGGTGGTTTTCTCGAAGTGAACGCTGTAAAGCTGCTGAAGCAACTCTCAGGCAGCTCTGGAGATGAAGTTCATGTGCTCATATATTGAGACGCAGACACTTAAAACGTGTGTTTGATGAAGCCTAGTGTGTTTGAACCAAATTGTGAATCCAGTCAAATGCAAATTTGGTTTCTGTTGATTTTGACATTTTCGTGTGCATTTACAATTAAAGACTACATTGGAACCTGAAGTCATATTTCCACTCTATATGCTCTTTACATGTTTTAATACTGCTTTGGCTTGGATTCCCAGTGAATGTGTGCGCTGCTAGTCTTTGAATCCGGCGTAAGCAGCTCACGACAGACTTCAGGGCCGTGGCTGCAGCTTGTTTGTAGAGGAACTGGAGTGTTTCAGCTGTTAAGCATTAGTGTCATTTGCACACACATCTGCACTGGCGCAAGCTTCATTTAACATCGATCAGCCGCGCAATCTGCTGCTGTCACCCTCCGTAAGCGGCTTGCGGCCTGCACTAACCGAACGCCCGTCATTTGTCTGTCTGTTGACCCGCGGCCTGTCGCTCCGCAGATGTCCTGCTCCTGACCCGCGACAGCTGGAGGCTCGTTCTCACGCTGTAAGATGGCCAATCAGCACAGACTAACCCTAACCCACTCAACAACTCCTGTCAGCTCAGTCAGCTTCCCATTGAAACAGTGTCGAGTCATCAAACCATCACGCGTTCAGAGCTGGCTAGTCTAATGGTTTATATGCACTGGTGATTATCAAACCAGCACTCAGCAGAAGAGACGCGTCGAACTAAGCGTTGCCTGGGTTGCGTACGGATGTGTGTCGAGTGGCGAGACCCTTTTGGGGTAGGGGCGTGTTTGTTTTGGTGATTTGACATGTCAACATTGGCTACCAGAAATCACTCACCCCACTTTAACTTATGTTACACAGATCTCTTTACCTGGTTATCTGGTTAGGCCTCAGCGCTGACCTGCAGCAATGCTTCTGGACATTTGGCTTTTTTATATACTCTTTGGTTTGATTGTTTTTTGTTGTTGTTGTTGTTGTTGTTCTCATTATTCTCAATAGTGATTCCCATTACCGCAATCCAATGACCATCGTTATTAATCAGCATCATACTTAAACATATATAATTTCAACATCATTTATCACATCATTTTTAAAAACTAAAGTAATAAGAATTTGATTGTCACGTGTTTAATTGTCAAGAAATCAATGTCATTATAAAGATATTTCCTAAAAACAGGCTTAATTTTCTTTATGCAAATTCTATTTTTTTCTTTAGATTTTTTGAATGTAGTTGCATTTTAAATTGTAATGCTTCAGGTAATGAATGGCATCAGTGAGCATTCGTTTGACCTCAGGGTCACATGACATCAATCACTCTGCTGGCTGGTTTGGATGGTTGCCATGGGAACCATATTCCCAGCTGCCGCTGGTTATCCGTGGATCCGCAAACAGGGCCAGCAGTGATGAGTGAGAGAGACAGAGGGACAGAGAGAGTGTGAGAGAGAGAGAGAGATATGGGCAGAGGTGGTTGACTAGGCAACAGTAAGACAAGATACGCCTCGATGCACCAAAGATAAATAACAGCTTCAGATACAGAGAGAGAGGCTGCAGTCAGACGGCTCAGATGCTGCTGTTAGTCTCTGATCGACAGACAGACAGCGCTGCATGACATTAATTCATGTTTCTGGTTTTACTCTTAATTGCTTCATCACTGCAGGTTATTCTGGAAAAATATACAATGTTTGTCTCATAATATTTCTTCTAAATGTAATCACTCAATCAGCCTCTGCTTAGCTTTCCTTTGGCAGCACACGCAGGGGTTAATGTTAACTAATATGTTAAACAGCTGTTTAGACACTGTTTTAACAAATTCAACTAGTCTTTTTGTCTCATTGTCTATCCTGTTGAACAGTAATAATATACAGTCACATGTTCAAGTCAAGCCATATTTATTTTTATTGTGCTTTATATCATACAGATTGTGTCAAATTAGCTGCACAGTAATAAACAGGAAAATAACAGAAGGAATTATGGAAATTATGGAGAGAGTTCAGATTCTGAAAGACTAAAGTCAGTAAAGCGTCGTTTCAGTTCAGATCAATAACAGCGTAAAGTTCATCAGTTTTGAAACGAGTCCAATCAGATCGTGCTTGTGAAAATCAGATCGTGCTTGCGAAAATCAGATCGTGCTTGTGAAAATCAGATCGTGCTTGCGAAAATCAGATCGTGCTTGTGAAAATCAGATCGTGCTTGCGAAAATCAGATCGTGCTTGTGAAAATCAGATCGTGCTTGCGAAAATCAGATCGTGCTTGTGAAAATCAGATCGTGCTTGCGAAAATCAGATCGTGCTTGTGAAAATCAGATCGTGCTTGCGAAAATCAGATCGTGCTTGTGAAAATCAGATCGTGCTTGCGAAAATCAGATCGTGCTTGTGAAAATCAGATCGTGCTTGCGAAAATCAGATCGTGCTTGTGAAAATCAGATCGTGCTTGCGAAAATCAGATCGTGCTTGTGAAAATCAGATCGTGCTTGCGAAAATCAGATCGTGCTTGTGAAAATCAGATCGTGCTTGCGAAAATCAGATCGTGCTTGTGAAAATCAGATCGTGCTTGCGAAAATCAGATCGTGCTTGTGAAAATCAGATCGTGCTTGCGAAAATCAGATCGTGCTTGTGAAAATCAGATCGTGCTTGCGAAAATCAGATCGTGCTTGTGAAAATCAGATCGTGCTTGCGAAAATCAGATCGTGCTTGTGAAAATCAGATCGTGCTTGCGAAAATCAGATCGTGCTTGTGAAAATCAGATCGTGCTTGCGAAAATCAGATCGTGCTTGTGAAAATCAGATCGTGCTTGCGAAAATCAGATCGTGCTTGTGAAAATCAGATCGTGCTTGCGAAAATCAGATCGTGCTTGTGAAAATCAGATCGTGCTTGCGAAAATCAGATCGTGCTTGTGAAAATCAGATCGTGCTTGCGAAAATCAGATCGTGCTTGTGAAAATCAGATCGTGCTTGCGAAAATCAGATCGTGCTTGTGAAAATCAGATCGTGCTTGCGAAAATCAGATCGTGCTTGTGAAAATCAGATCGTGCTTGCGAAAATCAGATCGTGCTTGTGAAAATCAGATCGTGCTTGCGAAAATCAGATCGTGCTTGTGAAAATCAGATCGTGCTTGCGAAAATCAGATCGTGCTTGTGAAAATCAGATCGTGCTTGCGAAAATCAGATCGTGCTTGTGAAAATCAGATCGTGCTTGCGAAAATCAGATCGTGCTTGTGAAAATCAGATCGTGCTTGCGAAAATCAGATCGTGCTTGTGAAAATCAGATCGTGCTTGCGAAAATCAGATCGTGCTTGTGAAAATCAGATCGTGCTTGCGAAAATCAGATCGTGCTTGTGAAAATCAGATCGTGCTTGCGAAAATCAGATCGTGCTTGTGAAAATCAGATCGTGCTTGCGAAAATCAGATCGTGCTTGTGAAAATCAGATCGTGCTTGCGAAAATCAGATCGTGCTTGTGAAAATCAGATCGTGCTTGCGAAAATCAGATCGTGCTTGTGAAAATCAGATCGTGCTTGCGAAAATCAGATCGTGCTTGTGAAAATCAGATCGTGCTTGCGAAAATCAGATCGTGCTTGTGAAAATCAGATCGTGCTTGCGAAAATCAGATCGTGCTTGTGAAAATCAGATCGTGCTTGCGAAAATCAGATCGTGCTTGTGAAAATCAGATCGTGCTTGCGAAAATCAGATCGTGCTTGTGAAAATCAGATCGTGCTTGCGAAAATCAGATCGTGCTTGTGAAAATCAGATCGTGCTTGCGAAAATCAGATCGTGCTTGTGAAAATCAGATCGTGCTTGTGAAAATCAGATCGTGTTTTTGAAAATCAGATCGTGTTTGTGAAAATCAGATCGTGTTTTCAGAAACGACTCTTCAGATATCAGACAGCAGTCTGCATCTGAGAACGACTCTCTCTTGCTAAAATCAGAGAATGGCTTGGCCTCTCCCGGCTCACCGCTTTATTAGACAATCTTTCCTGTATGTTATATAATATTTGTTCATTTAAATCTGCCATGTCGTGTCTGATTGTAGGAATACCGGATCAGACCGCTGAGGATTATGAAAACCAGGACATGAAGCTCAAACACATCTAGAAAAAAAGAAACGAGTGTGGTGAGTATCTGTCATCTGTGTGTGTGTGTGTGTGTGTGTGTGTGCTGGATAATCACATGCCTTCAGTTCCTCTATTTTTGGACGTGTCGTCTCTTCTCGAGCGTGATTTGAGCGTGTCGTGGATCTGTGAAGGTGTCTTGATTGAACTCTGACAGGCCTGTCAGCAAAGCCCAACTCCTCTTCAGTCGTTTCCTCGAGCGAAGGAAATAAACTCATTTTTGAGAAGCGTGTTTGTCTTGCACTTTACCTTTGATGACCTGACAGCGCGGATGCCATCTGCATGTTAGCTGCACATTAGCATGGGTTTAGCGGCACCCCACCTGACAACGTTCAGTTTGGAACTAATGGCGCGTTGCACAGTTAAAGCGCAGCTGGTTCTGCTAGCATATGCTCGTGCGGGTCTTTAGCTGCTGTTTGATGATCCCGTGTTGAACTGTGTTTGTGGAGCGACTCAACATCTGGCGGCACGTAAGCGGGTTGTGACCTGAGCGAATCACTGGACGGTCGACACGCTGCAATCAGACGCAGCTTTAGCGCAGGCACGCCGGACGGACCGGTAACCCGCTAGAGGAGATTACTGAGACTCTGTTTCACTCGGTATTAGCTCTGGCGCTCATCTGTTCTGCTGTTATTGTCCGAGTTTGAAAAGCAGACCGTGCACGTAACGAGGAGCGATTGATATCGGATCGCACGCAGCCCTGGATGGGAATAATCGATTTTTCAGAGTAAATATTGACTCCTGGCCGAGGATGTTTTGCGGGCCTGTTCTGAACTGGAGCAGAAAAACTCCCTCCCTCCTGGAAGACGGCGGTCCACACTGCACTTAACGTGAAGTCCGAGAGTAAAACGCACAATGCCTGGGAAGCTTTTCAATAATTAATGGGCTCTCTCGTAAAAAATCCATCTCGGCGAGAGTGGAGTGATGGTGTTGAGATGACATCTGTGCACAGCAGCACTTTACTCTTGACTGTTTGAGTGCATGTTTGTTCTCATCAGAGTCCAGACCAGAAAAGCATTGACTGTATTAAACATCCATCGTAATGAGCCACGTCTGCACGAGATCAAAACTACATCAGAAAAACTTGCAGCGATGATGATGATGATGATGAACGTGGCTTCATCAAGTTCAGTCTTGTGCCATAAACCATTTTGCAGCTCATTTTGACCACATTGTGTTTTATATGTTATGTTTTCGCACCATATATTAATGTAAGATTATTTCTAGTGTATTTCTGTCAGATGTTCTGCACATTTTCACCTGTTACAGAAGCACATGGTATGACTACGTATTTTCCAGTTTACAAACCTTTAAATATCAAATACTAAGAAATGCAGTTTTCTCATATTCTTCCAAACGCTGTACCAACGAGTCAAACACAGTCTGAAAAAATAATGTCATATTTCTGAAATGTCAAGGGTTTGTGATTTCCCAGCATGCATTGCAACATGAATAAATGATGCGTTTGTTTTGTCATTATTGTTGGTTATTTGTTGTGTTGTGATGTTTGTACATTTCTTGATTGTGTTTGTACAGTTAACAATATCTTGGATATATTGGCTTTATTAATATTCAATTATTGATACAATAGTTGAGAGAAAGTAGAAATTTGAATCCATCCAGTTTTCTCTGTTTATTTTTTACAGTGCAGATGATGATTTTGCTGTGAGTGTGTGTGTGTGTGTATGAGTATGTGTGTGTGTGTGAGTGTGTGTGTGTGTGTGAGTGTGTATGAGAGTGTGTGTATGTGTGAGTGCGTGTGTGAGTGCGTGTATGAGTGTGTGTGAGTGTGTATGAGAGTGTGTGTATGTGTGAGTGCGTGTGTGAGTGCGTGTATGAGTGTGTGTGAGTGTGTATGAGAGTGTGTGTATGTGTGAGTGCGTGTGTGAGTGCGTGTATGAGTGTGTGTGAGTGTGTATGAGAGTGTGTGTATGTGTGAGTGCGTGTGTGAGTGCGTGTATGAGTGTGTGTGAGTGTGTATGAGAGTGTGTGTATGTGTGAGTGCGTGTGTGAGTGCGTGTATGAGTGTGTGTGAGTGTGTATGAGAGTGTGTGTATGTGTGTGTGTGAGTGTGTGTGTGTGAGTGTGAGTGTGTGTGAGTGTGTGTGTGTGTGTATGAGTATGTGTGTGTGTG